GGCAACAGAACAGTTGCGCGAACGAGCAGGGAAATTGCCCCAGCCTTTTTCGGTGAATGGGTGATTACAGGGGGGCGGGGGGAGGTAAGGGTTGCGTCATTCAGGACTCCTCCATCCTTCTTCCTTGCCCTCCCGGTGACTTTGAGAGGGAGGGGCGAGCGAGGGGACTATGAAACGAGTTCGAGTCGAGGTAACTGTAAGCGGACGCAAGAAAGACGCTTTCACCCGCCGAAGGGCAAACCCAGCGAACACCTTAAACGTCCGGAAATGATCCGATGACTCATAAAATCGATCAAACTGCCAATCCCGCGGGCCCAAAGTTGGCTGCCCGAAAGTCGCTGTGCAAATCTGAACTTCCCTCCCCCTTTTTCCTCCTCTTTCCCCATCCAGAAGTCTTAATACCAAGACGAGGGGTAGCAATTGTACCCTTAACGGAGTGACCTTGCGGGAAAGTGTTAGACTGGGAGTGGGGAGGAACTGGGCTCTGAAAACGGGGGTCCAATTCTTCCAAGTCACAGTTCAGACGACCCCCAAATGAAGGTTTTGTAATGAGGGAGGGGAAAAAGTTTCATATGAAACCCTCCCGCTTCCTCCCGTCAAAACAGTTTCTCTCCCCCGCCTCCTCGTTTAAATCCATTTTTTTACTTGGATGTGTGTATGTGTGTGTGTGTAAATCCCCGGCCTTGTACATTTTAGCGAGGGATGGAGGCCATTCATTCACCCCAAACTTGGAGGGGGGGGGGGGGGACGGCTCATCATCTCGGACCCCGGGGGGGGGGAAAGGGAAAGGGGGAGGGGGGGGGGGGGGGGGGGGAGACATCGGGTTGGGTTGGGGTAGTTTTGAAGAAGGACTGAACCAGGAGAGATTCAACCTGGAAATAAGGAGAAACTTTCTGACAATCAACCCATGGGACAGAAGTTGCCCTCGGAAGTTGTAGGAGCGCCATCACTTGAGACCTTCAAGAAGAGATTGGACTGCCATCTGTCAGAAATGGTGTAGGGTCTCCAGCTTGGGCTGGGAGGGGTTGGACTAGATGACCTACAAGGTCCCTTCGAACTCTGATTATCTGTTGTCACCCTGCGCCCTGGACTGACCCAGCGGGCCAAAATCGGCAGGGGAATTTCCTTTGGAAAGAGAGACAAAAACCCAACTTCCCTTGGCGGTTGGGGGGGGGGGGGTGTTCGTGTCTCCCCACTGCGGAAGAGGGAGCGTCGCGCGCCTCCCCGCGCCCTCCCCCGGGCTGCGGGGAGGGGAGCAAGAAAGGAAAAACGCGACTTTCCCCGCAGTAGTCAGTTTGGAAGAGCAGAAAGGCGGGGGAGGGGAAAAAAAGCAGCGAGAAGGGGGGGAGCCAGAGAAAAATGAAACTAAAGAAAAAATTGCAATCTGCAACCTATAGGGGAGGGGGGAAATAAGGGTTTTGCTGGGTTTTGGGGGCTGGGAGGAGGGAAGGTGGGTTGGTCCCCTTGCTGGGGCCTTCTCGGCCTTGGTGCAGGAGGAGGAAGGGGCGGAGGGGGGTCACTTTCCCAGCAAGCGGGGGTTTGCCTCAGGTGGCGGGTTGGGTGGGTGCCGCAGTCTAGGCTGGCACTGGGCGGCAATTGGAGGGCAGAGTCCTTCCTGCAGTTTTTTCGTGGTGGGTGTGGGTGTGTGGGTGTGTATGTGCAAGGAGGGCTCAGACTGGCGCAGCGTGACTAAGCCTCCTTTGCCACCCCTCCCTCCCTCCCCATCTTTGCAGACACTTCTCCCCCCCCCTTCCTCCTCCTCCTCCTCCTCCTCTCCCCCGCCTGGCAAACGCGCCTCTTTTCCATTCCTGTCTTCGGCCAGGCGCCAGCTAGGGAGGGGGCGGGGAGATTTAAAGCGGAAAGAATTGGGAGGGAGGGGGCGGGGAAAGAATGTGTGTTTGTGGAGGGTGGGGGGGAGGACCCTGGGGAGTTTGATGCGGCTACTGGCAGAAAAAGCCGGCTCTTTCCCGGCTATCAATGAGGCTAAGTGCCGTTTTGGGAATCACCCCCCAAACCGCTGGAGGACGAATGGGAGCGTTGCAGCCCTTTTGGAGTGTGTGTGTGTGGGGGTCCGGCCAGACTGGGGACGCCCCCCCCGCCCAACCCCTCTACCTCCCGGGCTGTCTCTCGACCCGCGTTGCAACGTTTCCCCTCTTCGCTTAATCTGGGGCCACCGCTCGAAGGACGAAATGTGGAACCGACCAGCTTAAGATCCTACCCAACCACCATCGCTTATTGCCCTGTTAGCTCCCACGGCCCCCTCCTGCCCCCCGCCCCACCGAGCCTTGGGGGTGCTTATCTGCCTTCCAGATGTTCTCTTGTCTCGTCTCTCCCTCCCCCCCCCCCCCGGGAGGCGCGCCTGGGAGAGAGAAACCCCCCCCCACACCCCATATGCGCTCAAGGCGAGGGCGCTGTCCAAGGTGCTGACCTCCTGCTTTTAATGACGGGCGTTTCCAAACGGAGAACTCCAAGATCCATCGGGTCGCAGGGATCGGAGACCGAAACTCTGACTGGGTTGGGGAGTTCTCGGTGGTCTCTTGCTTGCAGATGTTTCATTACTAGGTAACATCTTCAAGATGTCTGCAAACAAATCCCCCAAGCTCAGAGACAGCACCAAGGAGCCCACAGTCATTGTAGTCCTCCTCCTCCTCCTCTTCCTCCATCTCAACCTCACTCTCTTCTAGTACTGATGATATTACCTAGTAGGGTAATGAAACATCTGGAAGAAAACCACCAAGTTCAGAGAACATCAAGGACCTCCCCAGCCCCTTTCCTCTCCTCCTCTTCCTCTTCCTCCTCCTCCTCCCACTCCACAACCTTCTAGCACTAATGGTGTTATCTAGTTTGATAGTGAAACATCTATAAGAAAAGCCGCCAAGCTCAGAGCACCCAGGACTCAACCCTGAGGTACATATGCCATCTTCTATTCAATATGGGATGTGTCTGGTTTCAGTCCTGTCATTAAACTACATTAAACAACA